GTTGCCCACAACTAAATACTTGTTTTAATATTTAATCAATTCTATTGAAATAATTCTACTAGCAACAATTTCTTATATCCTTTAAATGTCCTACATTCAAGCCACAAGCGTCTTTGATCTTTTTTTGCTGGTCCATAATTTTGTATTGAGGCTCAAAGCATCGAAGCATGATGGTTTGAGGTTTGGTATTAACCTTTTGTGCACAGTTGACTGCCTTGCGGGTCGCGGCTTCTAAAATTAGTGTATTTAACTAACAGCTTAATACGCGTATATAATTCAATAGAGAAGCACATCACACTTCGACTTTGACAGGCCATGTATAGAATGTTATTAAATAGCTTAAAGCAAAATGTTATGTGCTTAGTTGCCGTTTCATTTAATGAAATGCCATTAAAGGTTTTAACATTAAATTTTATATTATGAATAATTTAAGGTTAATAACTTTAAGAACTTTTGCTTTTTATACAAAGCAAATAAATCTGTGTTCTCCAAAACAACGCTCCATTCACCGCACAAAATTACTTTCTCACACCTGTGTGAGGTCCCAAAGTATGGCGTATCAGCCCGTTCTGATGTCACTAAACTCACAACTTCTTCAAAATAACAACAATTTGCTATGCAATTTAGCAAATCGTGATGCGCATGCTTAACTGTATTTGTTGTACTTCCCAGGTATACGTGGAGGGACTCCAGACGTGGCTTAAAGCGTGTGTGCTCTTAAGTCTAAACGTGCGCTTAAACGCATTATTTTGTGCGTGATTATTATGTGCAGCAACGCAAAAAGATAGTTTGCGAGGGCGTACGAGCATGTAAAGGCGAAATTGAGCATTTACGTGATATTGGCAGAAATAAATAATTTTCCACATAATAAATAAAAATTAAAGAATAAATAAATAAATTACTTAGGACATACACTTTCTGCAGTAATAGCTCCTCATCACAACAAAAATTTAAAGAGAATTTCCTGAGACAGTCCTTAAGGAAGCCCATAACCATTTATATAAACAATTTTAAATTAAAAACAAATACGAAAGATTTTAATTTCATTTTGTTGGCATGAAGATATGCAATTTATTTTAAATTGCATTTTCTTTAGAAATTTCTCTTATTGCATTTGACTACATCGAAAAGATACTTAGAATATTTTGTTATTCTTACTATTTCACTTATTTTTATTACATTCCCTTCGAAATACTTAAACTATTGCGTTAATAGTGGAATCAAGTAGACTTACTCTACTGCTTCATAATTTCTTTGTGAATATTTGAATATTTTTTTAAATAAAATTTTAACATCAATATTTACTTTTTATCTATTTTTCTTTGACATTTGTTAAGAGTTTATATTGCAGCCTTTCATTTCTGATTCCTGGATGCTGCTGATGCTGCTGCTGCTGTTGCTGCTCCTTTTTATTGTTGTAGTCACTTCGGCGCTCATGTGGAAATTGAATTTTTGAATAAAAGCAACAAATGTTATGTTCCTACGTTAACGAGAAATGACAGTTCGACAGTTTGACATTTTGTTTCCTTTTCTTCCATGGGTATTATAACCTTTATTTCAACCTTTCTTCTATTTTGTGAGGGAAGAAAGCATAACAAATCGTAAAAGTACAAATGTACGTCGAGTTAAGCTGCTTAAGCTTACAAGGATTTCTTTAAATTCTTTTGTCAAAATTTTTGTTATAAAAAAAAATCGAAATAAATATGCTTTGGGGTTCAAATATGATCGAAATATTTGTTGGAATCAATGACAACTGTTGCCTTTTAGTGAGGAAACTTCATTTCGATACTTTTAGTATGCAAATTTAACAAATTAACTTACTTCTTTGAGCGTAATTTGTTGAGAGAATTGAAAAAAAGACATTCTTTGGCTCTCGAATTTTTTTCAAATATTTATTTTTTGGATAAAAAAGAATTAGTTAGTTATATATGACTTATAATTCAATTTAATAATAACTACAAGGCATTACTCGTCTATAGGAGAGATAAAAAGACAAACTGTCATTTATAGATTGTTGAGTTTTGGAGTTAAAGCTAATCTATTAAGCTACAATAATGATTGGATGGATATTTGAGAACTGACGATTAATATATATTAAGGCGATTGGATATAAAATATTGAAATACTTTAAAATGCAATTTTTCTTATTACACAAACTTGATTAAAAAACTCTTATCAAAAAATTTTGACAGTTTCGAAGAGCTTATTTTTGATTTTAAATGTACTACTTATTTATTACTTAGTTGAAGACCACAAACGTAAGTCGTCCTTGATCGCGTTGAGTAGCCTCCGTCAGCCAGCCTGATAAGTTGTTTGCTGTCGCCAGTTGCTAGTACCGAGTACCCCCAAATTGTTGGTCACCTGGGAATTTCACTGAAAATGCAGATGCCTTCTACTGCATTTTCTGCCTACGGGTATCGAATCAAACATCTTTTTAGCCGGAGCATTTTCTTCTATTCGCACGATATGACCAAGCCAGCGAAGCCGCTGAATTTTTATATGTTTAACTTATAAATGCTTTATACAGCTTTCTAAATCGATACTCGTCGCCAATGCGTAATGGACCATAGATTTTCCGAAGTATTTTTCCCTCGACTGCTCCTAACGCCTTCTCTTTACTGTTGGTAATTGTTAAGCTTCCGCACCATACAACAAGACAAGCATGACAAGATACTTGTAGAGCATATTCTTTTTAATATTTTTTCCGGCAACGTTGAGGAAAGTGCTTTCCATTTGTATAGTTAATATTGACGGCATATGTCAATATCATATCATATAAGATAACCTAGCAGGTTATTGTGTGTTAAGAGTAGAAGCTGACAAGTTAGACTTGCTCAAAAATGATATGGGTGGGATTTTTATTATACTTGGAACAAAGTAAGCTTTGGGATATGTGCTATGTGCGTTTCAACCTTTGTCAAAGATATTACGAAATGCTACGGTATAGCACAATATAATAATCTGGAAGACGCATCCATAAAAAAAACTGTTGAAATTTTTAAATTGCGATAATTGAAAAATATTCTACTAATTAGGTAGAAATCAATGCAATCTCTAAAAATGATAAGGCCATGGAATTACTTTACTAAACCACATTGAAAACTAACTAACTCACCTATAGAAAGCACACACAATCTTAATATAGTATAGCTACTACTCTATTAAACATATCTCTACTAGTACTCTATTAAACATGTAACTGGTAACAAAAAGGACCCGTACTACTATGCGTGACAAATTTACACAACCAGTTCAGCCTACCCACTTAATAAAGGAATATAAAGGTATTGTACTCTCTATATGAAAAACGATATTGCTATGAATGGGTATATATCCCTATTTGTACGACCGAAAACTACAAATCACAAATATCTTAAAAGTCCTTTAAATTACATATATCACATTTCTAAAAGATTATTTAAAGTGACAGCAAATTGTTTTCAAATTTTTTTTAAAAACATATTTGAATGAATAAGTTCTGCCTTTAATCCCGACCACATGCTGTGACATATGGGTGTGAGATTCTGAACTATTATACATTTTCACATCCTCATATTTGTATTTGTGTACAATTTCATCTTCGTTTTATTTAACATTTTTAAATTATTATATTTTTGTGTAATAATATTGACATATTCCAAAAATTTTTTAATACTCAAATACAAAGTATAAATAGGGAAAATACTTCCCATCAATCAATTAAAGAACAATAATAATTGAGTAATTACCTACAAATAGTCTTACAATAAAGTCTGGTAATAACTTAAATTCATTTAAAACACATTTTCTCTTCGACTTTAAGACCAAACAAATACGAAAAATACACAAAATTATATGTAATCCGATTATTATTAAATTACTCGAACACAAAATAGGTTTGAGACAGAGGCAGAGGTAGAGGAAGAGAACCCAAAAAAATAATAAACTTACAATTTAATAACGTTATTGTTCTACAATTTCCTGTGTGCCTATTATATGCTTTCAATTACCAACCAGCAACCAACCTACGAACGAACTTATAGATAAATACGAGTACAGACAGACTCATATAATGGAAATATCTTTTGTGCTGCCTACGAAGTATCTAATTAAGTTATAAGAATTTTTTGCCTTTAATCTACTTTACGACCGTCATTTTTTGATTTTCTTCCTTTTTTAATTTTGCTCCGTACACTTTCCGTAGTTGTTGTCGGTGTTGCGCCACATCTGCCTGACTCTTATCTGCAGCCAATAATGATGATGTCGTTTAAGCCGTGTTGCCTGTAGAGAAAGAGCAGCCAAAAGATTAGGATGTCCTTAATTGTTACTTAACGATAGCATAAAGGCTCAGCATGAGCGGTGAGTGGTAATTATTAGTTAGAAAGACGTTGGAAAAATAAGTCATTATAGACAATAGCTGCTATGGCAGTCAGTTATAGCAACAGCCAAGACCGTAAAGGCCGTGGAGTAGGCAAAATCAGCTAACAAAAGGACAATGGATTTCTGTGGCAAAAAGGGCAACGTAAAAATTAAAATTCAGTTAAAAAGTCATCAGCAAGGCGACTATGAGCTTGGTTTTTATGCAATACCAAATTATGGTTGTAGGATCAAATATCTTAAAGTATATAGTTGAATTTAAAATTGTTGCAGATAAAATAATTTTACATTTTTCATTTGAAATATAACAGAATTGTTGAGAAAATATGACTAACTATTAGTTTAAGACATTTCTAGTGGAAACTGACTTTAATTAGAAAAGGTTCAGATTACTCAGTTTTAGACGCTGAGTTAACTACTTAATATCTACACTGAAGAGGATTTGGTAAGATTTTTATATTCATATTGTTATATCTGTATAATTTAGATATTTATTTATTCAAAAAACTCCAAGTTATTATTATTTCACAAGTTCAAAATAACTGACAGAATTAAAATGTTAATTCTACTTTATCTGTCAACTGTCATCTTGGCAGAGTTGCCAACACCTCCCCTTTTGAGATTAAATCTCCAATGCGGTGATTCTAGGGTCTATAACGGTCAACAGGATGTCTAGTACGCCTTGGTCGGGTATACGGAACAACTGCCTCATTGTGCTTCTCAGTTTGAGGGATTGCAATCTCGGTTACTTCGTTGAAAGATTGATCTGGAGTCGAAACCATGTTGTTGTTAGTTATTTCGACCACATCTTTAGGTGTTGTTTCGTAGAGGCCAAATGCATCAACTAAACACTTTTCGTTGGCGATATCTTCGGAAGTACATATTTCTAAAGATAACTCATTTTCTTGATCTTTACGGTCACGAATTTGATTGGCATGTGCACGAATAAGTTTGCCATTTTGTAAGCGAACATTATAAATGACGTTACCTATGCGTTCGATTATTTTACCTTTTGTCCATTCAAAGTGTTTGTTTTTGAATATATTGACATAAACGAGCTCTTGTTTTTCGTAAAACTTTGGCTTTGCACCGTGCCTTTTGTCAAATTGCGCTTTCATTTTGAGTTGTGTATCGCACTTGTTTTTAAACTTGGCATTTGGGTCTGACACCAGCGTTGGTTTAATCAAGTCAAGTTTAATACGGATATTTCTTTTTAGTAAAACTTCAGCTGGCGATTTACTGTCCTCATTTTGCTTATTCGGAGTTGATCGGTAAACTTGTAGAAATGTTTGAAGATTTTCAGCAGTTACCCCCTTCCCATTTAACTTTTTGAGTGCTCGCTTTAAAGTATCCACAAACCTTTCGGCTTGTCCATTTGACATGGGATAATACGGACTGCTTCGTATATGACTAATGCCGTTTTCCGCTAAAAACTGTTGAAATTGGTGACTCACAAATTGAGTACCATTGTCTGAAACTATTGTCTTCGGTAACCCAAATCTAGCGAAAATTTCTTTCAAGCTGGAAATTGTTTGAGTTGCTGTTATAGATTTTGTTTGTATAATTTCTGGCCATTTTGAGAACGCATCGATTACGACCAAATAGTAGTATGAATCTATTGGTCCTGCATAATCAATATGGAGCCGTTCCCAAGAATCAGAAGGTTTTGGCCAAGGATGTAAAGTTGTTTTTGTGGGCATTTTAGCTGCTGCTGCACAATTTGAACAACTTTTCACCATTGCTTCAATATCGTAATCGATATTTGACCAATAAACGTAGTTCCGCGCGATGGCTTTAGTACGACCTATGCCTTGATGACCTCGGTGAATTTCTTTAAGAATGCGCTTTCGGAAAATTTGAGGTATAATAATGCGTTGTCCGAACATTAAACATCCGTCAACTATACATATGTCGTTTTTTCGGTTAAAGTAAGCTTTTAACTCACTGTTGTTGCAGTTTGATGGCCATCCTTTAGTTACATATTCGAGAATTTTAGCTAAAACCTTGTCCTTAGCTGTTTCGTAAGTAATCATTTTGCTGGTAAGCGGCAGCTTATCAAGTGAGTTATGTAAAATTTGTTTACTTTCAATTTCAAACTCTACTGCAGCGATGACATAGTCTTCTGAAGGATTGATTGTGTTATGTATGAGTCGTGATAAAACGTCTGCATACCCAAAACTGTTAGTTGAAATAAACTTTAATTCGAAGTCGTATGCAATCAGTTTAATTGCCCAACGTTGAAGTCTATTTGCTTGATACACCTTAATTCCCGTTTTATCACCAAATATAGCTAGAAGAGGCTTATGATCTGTTTGAAGTTTGAATCTTCTCCCAAAAACCATTCTGTGAAATTTCGTAACCGCGAAAATAAGCGCAAGAGCTTCTTTTTCTATTTGGCTATATTGTTTTTCTGTGGGCGTTAGTGATCTGGACGCATGACATATTACTTTCATTGAACCGTCGTCAGCTTCATGAAAAATGCAAGCTCCGAGCCCATAGTTAGATGCATCTGCAGCGACTACTATGTTTTTTAGTGGATCGTAATGCGCTAATAATAACTCTGATGACAAAATTTGCTTGAAACCATCCAAACAGCGTTGATGAAGTTCACAGTTGTTTTAATTTCTCCACTGTTGTAGTGAAATTATATTCACGTGGATGCTTAGGCAAAATAAAGTCCATATATTTGTTATGCACAGTTGTACTGAGTTTCCTTAATAGAAGCCTGACCTTCGCTGCGTCATCAAGTTTGCTACCATCTACTAAAAACAAATCTTCATACCTCGTATACCACGTTTCAAATGTTAAGTTATTTTCTGGATCATAAACAAATTCCATGAGACTCGATGCTAAAATCTCCATTGTTTGCTCCGGATTTTCTGTTTTCGGAACTGCTTTCATTTGCAAACACTCCTTGAAAAGTTCACGCATTGCTTCCGTGTCTTTCGCACGTTGGTTTTGCATTTCTTGGAAAAATAACTTGAATTCTTGTGGATTCATTTTTTTTTGTGTACATATATTTTTCATGTAATGCAAAAAAAAATATATATCCTCGTCGCCACTGTTATATCTGTATAATTTAGATATTTATTTATTCAAAAAAACTCCAAGTTATTATTATTTCACAAGTTCAAAATAACTGACAGAATTAAAATGTTAATTCTACTTTATCTGTCAACTGTCATCTTGGCAGAGTTGCCAACATATATAAATTACTATTTTTGAGGTCTCTTCCGAAGGAAAATTTATATTTTGTTAACGACAATGCAAAATTTAGACAATCTAGCTAGGTGTAACGCTTGGTTATATATAATTTTATATCAAACTCGTAGAAATAAATCACATGACTTAAAGAAAATTTAGTATGTTAAATTAAAAGCGAAGAGCTTAATGTTAGGTTAGGTTAACTTTGCGAGGTGGCTTTATGCCTAAATCCCACCTGAGCTAAAATAATAGCACGTTATGATACCACTGAAGAGCTTAAGCTCCATTGAAATCATTTTATTCTACAGGTTTTTGTGGGTTATAAGATTAATTTTATTTTTATTTGGAACTAAATACACTGCTTGTATTTTGTCATGAACTTCTTTTAAATTTATCAACACGTTCAATAGTTTGACCATCCTCTGCGATTTCATCATCAGGAACTAGAATTTTGTGGGAAAAGTTTGATATGTGTTATCAAAGCTGCTAAAAAATTATTATGCTTAAACCAATTTTTACTTAGATTGTTATTATTGTTATGAAAGAATAAAGTACTATGATCTGAAGAACTATTTCGCACCCTTAATAAAGAGGGGCCGATTATTACAATCCCATATACTCAGTATTTATCAAATTTCAGTGAGACTTGCTTCATCATTGAAACTCATATTTTTTGTAGTATTCCTGACAATTATGCATCACTCAATAAGAAGACCGCTATATACTTGAGACTCGAACCCAAGTCTTATTCTACAAGTTTCTTTGAAATAAGCATCACTGTATTTATCACTGTATTGTATTGTATTGTACTGTATTGTATTTGAATTTATCTGAATTTATCATAGCTATCCATACACTCTTCTAGGTTTGTCTTCGCATTAGTCATCACTGTATAGCTATAGTATACTTCTAAGTGTTTTTTCGCATTATGCATTAGTGTATCAGGAGATCGTCTTCTTGCAGATACATAATTTATCATAGCAACCCATGTATTATTCCAAGAGTTTATTGGAGTTATATATCACGCAATCAGAAGACCACTTTTTTACTGAGATTACGTTCATCATTATTAAATTTTTTTTCCAATAATGCGTCAGAAGACCACCTTTTTATTCCTTCTCGGTACCCAAATAATCTTCCGAGTGTATCTTCGGATTATGCATCACTGTATAAGGAGAATGTTTTTACAAGGAATAATATTGAATAAAATTTTTGCTCTGATCTAAACCTTTCTTTGAATATCTATAAATTACTCAGAAACATTTTTTGGCTTAAGTAAAGTGTTGTTTAAACACCTAAAAGCAAAGTACACTAAAACTATTTTTAAATTATCGAGAAATCCTTATTCACTATTATTTAATATATTTTTTATTTTATTTTTAGTTCAAAAAACAACAGAAAATACGGATTCATTTAAATCACATGTGTCCAATGCACAGAAATTGAAACTTGGCAGAAAAGTCTTTTCGAAAAATTCCCAAATGTCTGTGCAGTGATAACCAAAACGAAAGGTTTCAACAACTATTTACAATAACAACAACAACAATCACAACTTTGTAAAAAGTGTAGACAAAGAACATTTAAAAACAAAATATAAATAGAAGTAAAGAGTAAAGTAGTGAAAACTAGTGATAAGGAGTTTGCATTGAAAGTCCTGAAGATGCCTGCGCTTACAACAGAAACAATTTTACTTCAGGCCATAACAAATGCCAACATAACAGACAACCCACTTCAACAGCGATTGCAACCGGAAACCGTACTAAGTCCCGCTCCAACGGTCGGTGGTGGTGTTAGCGGTGATGATGGTGGAGCTGGTCTCGGTGATACAAGTACGCTCAGCAACATCGCTTCAATTATACTCTCGAATTTCCTGCCAACCAACACAAACTCAAATTCTATTGCAGCAATGCATAAACCATCTTTTGCCACATTTAGCCCGCCAAGCATAGAGAATCTTGTTGCCAGCTCAGCAGAGGATTTAAACAATTTTCGGGATGTGACATTTGATATCTTTGACGATGACGACGATTTATTTGGCTCACCCATGGCATTCGATGCTAGTGAGAACGGTTTGTGGAATGGACGTTTTGTACCGCCACCGCCACGGCCACCCTTTTTCATGGATGAACCAGTGCTGAGTGATGGACTGACAACGTGTGATTTGTGTTCTTGGGCCATGCCAACCAAGAGTACTTTTATCTTTGAGGGCACAATAGGTAAGCAAAACAAAACAAAATTGAGTTTGGGTTGTTTGTGGGGTCGTGGGTTGTCAACTGTGGACTGTGTAAATAAATAAAAATTACTGTGAATTTTATATAAATGACAGTAGAAAGTATTTACAGAGTAGCACATGACTGACCATTACTTATTTCCGTTCAGGCTTATGTATTTATCTCTTCCCATTTTGTTTTTGTCTATTTTTTTGTAGAAAAAGCATCTGAACTGGGTTGGCCTTTAACACTTATAATTGTGTCCATTTTGTCAGCACTTCTGGGGGCAATTATAATGATTACAGTGGTGCGATGCAGAAGGTGAGTTGCAAAATTTATATGTGAATTTATAGTAGTATTAAGAATCAAATATATTTAGAATTTCCATTTAAAGATTCTTTTTAATAAATTAAATACATAATGAAAAATGCTTAACAAATATATTAATATTTTATAAAACTCATTTAAAATTCATTTAAAAAGAATAAATTAAATATTTAAAGTACCGATATAATTAAGTAATACAATCTATTAATTATTATACTTAAAGTTTTTCAAATTATTTGTTTAAAATTTTGATTAAGCTATTAATATTCAAATTTTTTTAAACTGATTTGAAAAATTAAAATTTTGACTCAAAAATAAATTTCTTATATTTTTATATGTTATATATATTTTTATTATTATTGTCGATCAATTATAAATTATTTTTAATTGTAAAAAAGAAACTATTTGGATAATAATTTAATTAAACACTTAAAATACTGAAAATTATTATTAAATTAAATTATTAATTTCCTTTTTGTTTGAAATTTTTGATTTATTTAAAACATTTAACACATTAGTTTTTTATTATTTATTCTTATATTGATGACTTATCTCAAAATTATGAATATTGTTTTTCTTGCAATAATTTTACATATATTAATTCATATTTTTTATTTCTTTTTTTTATAGAAAAAAAGCTTCAAACAATCGTAATGGTAAGTGTCAAAAGCATTCACTGAAATCCCAACCAACATTACCTACACCAACACTTGATCACCATCATCATCAACACCAAGATTATCACAGTCATCAGCAACAGTTCTTACATACACAAACACTTGCTCATCCTCAATTGCCGCTGCAAAGCCACCATACCGCCTACTCACCGCACATTGCTGGCTTTCATCAGTTGCAGCCGCATCAACACCAACAACAGCAACAACAATATGTATCTAACACTAGTTGCTCTTCTTCGTCACTGACAAATGAAAGTAATAGCACAAATCATACAAGTCTCTCAACCATCTATCGTCCTTGTAGCAGTTTTAACCAACACCAACAACAAAATCCAACTGAGCAACAAGCTTTCCATAAAATTCATAACAGTTCCGTAAAGAATTGCAATAAACAATTTTCACAAAAAAATATTAATATGTTTACACGCCCCCTACCTCCACAACCCATAGACCCCACAGACAACAGTAGTAGTCATAGCATTGGCGAAAGCATTGACCGTGCTTCCTGCGCTGCCAGCAAAGTTGAACAGCCAGCAATTGCAACCGAAGTCGCGGCGGTAATGGTGGCTATGCACGGCAATGAGAAGACTTGAAAATTATTTTACTAAATTTTATTTGTTTTTTATGCACGCATTTTTGCAATTTTATTTCAAATAGAAACGCATGTGCAATGGTGGTCACGCAATAAACGTCCCAACAATAGCAATAACAACAATCATTTGCGGCGTAGCAACATTTATACAGCGCATCCAGCCGACAGTATACGAGGACTGCAACAACCGTCATTATCAGCAGCATCATCGCTAACAGCAATGACAGCCATGGGTGTACCGCCAGCAGCAACAATTGCCGCTACAACCAACACAACACAGTCACAACAACAGCAATTCTATGCACCGCACCTGCATCACCAACATCAGCACC